GCGGGGCCGCGTGGTCAACGTGGCCAGTGTGATGGGCCGCGTCTCCTGCTTCGGCGGCGGGTACTGCATCTCCAAGTTCGGCGTGGAGGCCTTCTCCGACAGCCTCAGGTACGGCATTGGTGGCCCCCGGCGCTTCCCTGTGCTGGTCCAGCAGCCCCCTGCTCTGCCCCACTGCCCCCACACACAGGGCTTTGTGTGGCTCCCAGTCACGTCCTTCCCCCAGACCTTGTGAAACCCTGACCAGGCCCCGGGGTGGGAACGTGGGCACGGCTGGAGTTGTGCAACGAGGCGAAGGGTTTCAAAGGACTCTTGAGCAAGGACAAGGCTCCTCTGTGTTTATGATGGGGTGCCTGGTGGGGGGGTCACGGGCTCCCCCTCTCTCCCCCAGCTCGGGACAGGAGCTCTGGCTCACGTCCCCGCCTCGGGCAGGCGGGAGATGCGTCCTTTTGGGGTGCAGGTCTCCATCATCGAGCCCGGCGGGTTCCGGACGGCGATGATCGACCCTGTGCCGCTGGCCCAGGACTTCACGCGCCTCTGGGAGCGGCTCCCAGCAGAGACCCGGGCAGCCTACGGACACCGGTACCCGGACAGACGTGAGTCCATCCCTGCATGGCACCATCACCCCCGGTGACCCCACTGCCACCGGGCTGACCCACCATCACCAGGCTGAACCCATGGCCACCGGGCTGACCCCGCTGTGCCCCCGCAGTGTCCAGGAGGACCCTCCTCGTGCACCGCCTGAGCAGCTCCCGCCTGTCCCCCGTCACCGCTGCCATGACCCACGCGCTGCTCTCCCGCCGCCCCCGCAGCCGCTACGCCGCGGGCTGGGACGCCCGAATCATCTTCCTGCCGCTCAGCTACTGCCCGGCCTGGCTGTCCGACACCCTCCTGGGCCTCCTCCTGCCCACCCCGGCCCGCGGGACCCCCTGAGATGGGCCAGCAGGGCGGGACACGGTGCCCGCTGTCCCCGTGCCTCTGGCACCGTGCTCAATAAAGCTGCTGCAGCGCTGGGGCTGCTCGTGGTGCCTCCGAGGTGTCCGGTGCTGGGTGACCCCTCCCGTGGCAGGACCTGTGCCCGGAGCAGCCCCGTACTCAGGGATGTCCCGGATCAGCCGGCAGGGAACGTGCTGGGAAAGGCGGGGCAGTTCATCCATCCCCTGGGCGCGTGGGTGGTGATCCCTGCTCGGTGATCCCTGCTCGCTCAACCCGCTAATTAAGGGCAGATTAGCGATCAGTAGCTGGGGGGCAGGTCCCTGGGGTTGGGCGCTGGCCTGCAGCGCTGGAGCAGCGCCGAGGAAGCTTCTCCAAAACGCTTTCTTCAGCTCGCCAAAGCAGCACCGCGTCCCCAGCAGCCCCCACGCGTCACGTTCCGGGTGTCCCCGGGGCCTGGGATCAGTGCAAGGAGCTCCTGGGAGGTGACGCTGCGGCCTCGGCTGCACCTGCCCTGGGTCACCTGTGCTCACATCCCTCCAGCACCATCCTGGTCCTTCTGAATCCCACAGTTCTGTGTGGAAATTCCCTGACCTCTTAAGTAGAACCAGCACAGCATCCCTTTCCCCTTGTGGAGGGGGGGCAGAGACCCCCAGCCCCTCCGTGGCAGAGCAGCTCCTCCCCACCCCGGTGGCCCCAGCCGAGCCAAAACGTGCCCAGGGTGAGCACGAAGCTGCCGAGTTCCTGTTTGGAACCCGGACCCCGGGTCCTGCCAGGGCTGGTACCTGCACACGGGGTCACCGGGCTGGGCTTGTTGTTGTGAGACCCGACTTATCAGTGCCCTCGTGCTTCCCCGCTCCGGCCGTGCCTTCCTTCCGAGCCGATTGTTGATCCCAAAGTCTTGTCTGCACTCGAAAAAGGAGATTTCCTGCAATTGTTTCGCAGGACTTGCAGCCCGATGCAAAATTTTCTGCCTATCAGCCCCCTCCCCAGCACCAGGGCAAGGCTCGAGCCCCCTCCCTTCCCCTGCCGGGCCGCAGGGCAATCACAGCTCCGTGATTAATTGCTGCCCGGCCAGAGGTGCTTCTGTGGTGACGTCCATCTGCCCCCAGCTCCTGCGGCAGCACTGCCCGGGCAGAGAGTGCAGCTTTCAGCCTTTTTCTCCCCAAATGAAACCCTGAGCTCACCTCGGTGCCGTGGTGGCAGCAGGGACAGCTGCTGGCCCCTGTCCCACAACCCACCCTTGCAGGAGTCCCAGTGCCGGGGCAGGACCTGGCCTGGAAGAGCCCATCCCAGAGGATGCATTTTCCCTACAGCAGGATCCAGGCAGGATCCAGCCCCCGAGCCCAGCAGGGGGATTGTGGAGGGGACCCCCCCGGAAGCCTCGGGGACCCCCCTGCATCCCCCCATCCCCGGGCACCCACAGCTCCCACACCAACACCTGCCCGGGGCCTCCCCACATCCCTGCCCAGCCCTGCGGCGAAATCAAAAGGGAGCCGAGCCCCAGGGCTGGAAACCCAGTGCAGTGTCACCCACGCTGGGCTGTCTCAGGATGTTGGACCACGACAGTCATTTCCTGCCGGGAAGCAGCCACCAAGCCCACCCCGAGCTCTGCTCTCCAGAGGCGCCGGAGCCGCTGAGCCGAGAGGATCCCGGTGCTCCCGAGCAGCCCCTGCACAGCCCTCAGCAGGTGAGCAGAGCTGGCCCTCCTCCCTCCTGTCCCTCTGTCCCTTCTCCTGTCCTCCTGTGCTCTCTCCCATCCCTCTGTCCCCTCTCCCATCCCTCTGTCCCTTTTTCTGTCCATGTGTCCCCTCTCCCATCCGTTTCTCCCCAACCCCACGGGCCTCTCAGGACCCACAGTGTGGAGAGGGTGGGAGGTCAGGGAGCCATGGGAAAGGCATGTCCAGCCTCTCCATGGTTTTGGGAGTGGGTGGGTGTCAGCCCATTGCTGCAGGGATGCCACCCTGCTGGGGGACTGTGGCATTCCTGGCTCATTGGGGTCCCAGTTCCACGGGAACACCCCGGCAGCCCAGGACGCTCCTCCAGCTTCCCCGAGGGAATGGCTGGTCCTGAGCTCTTCCAGTGGCACAAGGCTGGATGGGTTCTGTGGCATCTCTGCCGTGCTGATGCAGCTGTACCGGGATCAGAGCTCTCACTTGAGGCACCAGAGGATGTTGAGGTCAACTGCATTTCCCTTGACTTTATGATTTTGTCACCTACTTGGAAGTCCCGAGGGCTCCCGGCAGCGCAGCCACCAGACAGGCAGAGCCAGTGAGGGACCACACTCCGAGGGCTCGGGAGGGGGACGGGGCCTTTCCTGCTGGAGTGGAGTCTGGGGCACAGTCACCGGGGTGTTCAGTGGCACCAGCCCGTGCCCCGGGCCAGGCTGTGGGACAGGGACAACCACCAGTGAGGCTGATGTCTGTGGCTGGCATTTAGTCAGGGATGTGAGGGGATCACCTGGGCAGACACGGCACCTTTCGAGGGTTGGTGTAGGGAGTCACCATAGGACTAAAAATTGGGTTAAACCCCCCCAGAAGGGTCTGAGCCCCGTGCAAGGACCGAGTTCTGCGTGTTCAGACTCTCCAGCTCGGTGCTCTCCCTTTCCCTGCAGCGCCAGGATGGCTGAGATGACCACAGCCCCCCCTGAGACACACACTGTCCCCAGCGAGTACGGGGACTACCACAACTGGTCCGAGCTGTTCCACCTCCTGAACCACACCTACACCTACTGCGAGTTCAGCCTGGACGAGAACGTCAAGCGGGTGATCCTTTTCATCCTCTACCTGCTCATCTTCGTGGTGGGCTTGGTGGAGAACCTCCTTGTCATCTGGGTCAACTGGCAGACGCGGGGCAACAAGAGCTTGGTCAACCTCTACATCCTCAACATGGCCATCGCCGACCTGGGGGTGATGCTGTCGCTGCCCATCTGGATGCTGGAGGTGATGCTGGACTACACCTGGCTCTGGGGCAGCTTCCTCTGCCGCTTCACGCACTACTTCTACTTCGCCAACATGTACGCCAGCATCTTCTTCCTCACCTGCCTGAGCGTGGATCGCTACGTGTCCCTGACCAGCTCCTCCCTCTTCTGGCGCCGGCACCAGCACCTCGCGCGCCGCGTCGCCTGCGCCTGCAGCTGGGTCCTGGCCGCCTCCATCCCCTTCCTGGAGGTCGTCCACATGCAGCTGGTCAACACCGGGGAGCCCATCTGCATCTTCATGGCCCCCTTCGAGACCTACGACGAGTGGGCGCTGGGGGTCAGCCTGGCCACCACCACCATCGGCTTCCTCGTGCCCTTCCCCGTCATCGCCGTCTTCAACGTGCTGACCGCCCGGTTCCTGCGGCGCGCCAAGCCCGAGAGCCGGCGGCACTGCCTGCTCATCTACGCCTACGTCGTGGTCTTCCTCGTCAGCTGGCTGCCCTTCCACGCCGTGCTGATGCTGCTCACCCTCGACGGCACCCACATCATCCTCAACTGCGCCTTCGCCCGCTTCCTCTACTTCTTCTACGACATCATCGACTGCCTCACGATGCTCCACTGCGTCGTCAACCCCGTCCTCTACAACTTCCTGAGCAAGAACTTCCGCAGCAAACTCGTCTCCGCCGTGGTCAGGTACATCCCCAAGGACCACGGAGCCCCGAAGGGCGCTGGCAACTCCTCCTCCACCACCCAACACTCCATAGTCATCTCCAAGGACAACAACCCTCCCAACTAAGGGGGGTCTCGGACCCTCCCACCCCCTGTGGCAGCGGCAGCGGCTCCCCGGGGACACCGGGATCGGTTTTCCTGGTGATGAGGAGACACTTTGCTTTGGCACAGCCTCCCTTGCCAGGCAGGACAGGGTGCCAGGCACGAGGGGAGGTGGTGCAGGAGCTACAGACACATCTTTCCTCTGCAGTGCTGCTGTGTCAGACCTATTTAGCTAAAGAAAGAATCAGAGAGAGATTCCCCGTTCCCCAAAGGAAATCTTTGCAGTAATTAGTGAGTTGCTCCACTCGGGGTCCAACCCAACCCCGCCCCTGGGATTTGAGCCCCGTGCCCCCCGAGCTGCAGGGCTGGGGTGCACGATCTGCCCCATCACGGGTGTTTCTGCACCCCCAGACTGTCACTGGCACCCTGAGCAGGAGAGAGGGAACCACCCTTGGGAACAAAAACCTCCCTCCCCTGCCCCCAGAAACGTCCAGAGCCTGATCTGGGAGAGATGAAGGCGAGGCAGCCGCGGGGGCTGAGCAGGGCACGGACCTGAGCTGGGACCAGGGGAGCAGCGACTGGGATTCGAGATCAGCAACTCCTCGAGAGCAGTTCTGCAAACCCAGCAGCAAATTAGTGATGGTTAAACTGGGTTTGACTGGGCAGGGCTGCTCCAGACTGAGGGGTGGGAGCCGGGGTGGGTTCCCAGTTTGGGTCTCCCATCCTGTTAATCCAGCCTCCTCTGGAACATTCCCTTACACCACCGGGTGCATTTCTCAACACCATCAGGCTCCAGCAGCCCTTCCCCTCCCACCAAAGTCCCCGTGGGATCTTGGTCACGTGCAGAAACCCTCGGGGCTGGAGAGAGGGCTGGGCTTGTGCCGTGCAAGGAACCGGGAGCATCTGGAGAAAGTTCATCCTCCTCTGGAATCTGATCTCGGTCACGTGCTGCGGGTCGAGCCCTCAGCCGGGGAAGGTGACAGAGCAACAGGGCCCATAAATCTACCAGAGGCCTTGAGCTGCTCCAGAAACACGTTGCGAAAAAAGCAGAGCATCAGCAGTTCTGGGGGCAGGATGCTGGTGGCACGGGGTGGGAGCAGGGGGGGAGCAGGATGTTCTGGGAGAAGCTCAGGACCGGGAGTTAACACGGATGTGGGGTTATCACGGGGCTGAACTGACTCTGCCAGTTCCAGGGGTCCTGCAACGGGGTAAATCCCTAAACACCACAGGGTTCCTTCTGCAGGGACATTCCTTGGTCCCCCAGGGACACCAGTGCTGAGGGAACAACCCAAATCCAAACAGGAACACTGGGAAGGCACCAGCCCCCTCACCACAGCAATTCCCTGTCCAGGGCAGCAGCTCAGGCTGTTCCCCTTCCTTAATTCTGTTACTCCCCCGGGCTGAGGCTGAACTTGGGGGTCCCCAACACCTTCATCCCCAAATCCTCCCTGGGCTTCCCTTTGCCAATTCCCTGCCACTTCCAGTGACAGAATGGACGGCAAATAACAACAAACCACCTGATGTGTGACACAAACCAGGGCAACAATATATTCAAGTTACCTAAACATGTAAAATTTGGTATTTGACCTATTAAACTTTATTTTTAACTCTCTTAATTCACCTGCAACTTTGTCCACAGATCTCAGGGCCAGAGTGGCCTTAAATAACCCCCCACCCAGCCCCAGGTGGTGACCCAGGGCTGGCCCCCAGTGATTCCCTCATTCCTGGGACACAGCGGCTCCTTCACCCCCCAGACCACTCGCCCAGGGGCTCATCCAGGCACACAAACCCTGGGATTCCCTAATGGGGGTGGGGGGGGAGCTCTGCTCCCACCCTGCTGCTGCAGCCCTCCCTCCTCCCATCCCCTCATCCCACGGGAATGCCACAACCCCTGGCACAACCCTGGGCCACTCCCAGTGCTGGAAGTGACAAGGAAGAGCCTTGGACCTGCCCCAGGAATCCTGCTGAGCTCAGCATGGGAGCAGGATACCGGGATGGCCTCACGTGCTTCCCGGGCATTCCCGAGGAGACGGGAACTCCGGGAGGAACAGGTTTTATACAGAGGCAGCTACAAGAGCTCAACGTTTTCCTTTTTATTATTCTAAATAAAAACCACACTTTGTGCTGAACAATGGAGTAGAAAAGAACCCGATGTACAACGATTTTAGACATCTACGATCTGGGGGGGAAAAGTTTACAAAATATACAAAACTTTACAGCAAATAGATAGTAAACACTTAAATAGCAGGAGGTCAGTACCTACGATTAACTTAACGAAAAGGTTAGACAGCAACTTCAACTCTTGTTCTTCCTTCTGCTTCATTACTCTGATGAGAGACCTGGATCTGTTGGGAACGGGGAAAATGAACTTTGTGTTGGGAGCAGCCCCGGGAGGGGGATTCCCTGTTGGGGATTCCCTGTTGGGGATTCCCTGTCGGAGCTCCCCCGGGAGGCTCCAGGACCCGGCATTTCCCCTCTGCATCCCCCTCTACTACCCCAGGACCCCAAAGCACTTGGCAAACACCTCAGGCCGGCCCAGGGGAGGTAGGTGGGTGTCCCTGTGCTCACCAGGGACAGGAGGGAGCAGGTTTTGCCCACAGAGGTGGAGCAGGAACGGAACCAGGCACGGAGTGACCGCCCCGGAGCTCCCAACACGGGGCTGAGCGTGGAACTGGAGCTCCCAGCTGGACAAGGGGACAGGAATCACAGGGGGTGACATCCCTGCGCAGCTCTGCAGGCTCAGGGAGGCCCAGGACCCTCCCAGAGGGAGCCCTCAGGGCTCTGATCCCTCCACAAACCTCCCCGAGGAGGAGCAGTGGCGGGTCCAGCCCTGTCCCCATGTCCCCTGCTGCAGGATGTTCCACATGGGAATGATCCATTACATCACAGGCAAAGAGAAATCCCAGGGCTCAGATCTGGCTCCTGCTTTCCCCCCAGGGCCGGTTGTGCCCGTGAAGTGTTTCAGTGTCAAAGCTTCTCTTTTTGGTTCATGTGCACAAAAGGCTTTTGCTTCACAGCTTATTGAGATCCGGGGCTGCAGGTGCTGTGCCCCGGCCCTTCCCAAAGCTCACCACGGCTTCTGGAATGTTCCAGGAGGGTCTCAAGGCTCTCCCAGCCTCGTCTGTCCCTCACATCCTTCATCGCCACCTCCAGAGCAGCGCAGGTTGTGCCTGTCCCTGTCCCTGTCCCTGTCCCCAGCCGGACACAGCCCGGAGTTCTGCGCTCGAGGGGACCCTCTGTGAGCACAGGGTGGGACTGGGTGACCTCCTGTGGTCCCGTCCAGCCTCATCCATCCCGTGATTCCATGAGAGAAACCCTGGAACCCAAAGAGCAGCTCAGAGGAGCCTCTGGCAAAGCACCACCAGCTCCCCCGATTCCCAGAGCCCCAAGCTTTCCCAAAACCATCCTTTTTTTTCTGTAAAACAACCACACTCAGCTGGACGTGGCTCTGCAGCGATCCCAGACCCGGGACCGTGATGCCAGAGCTGGGACCCCAGAGCTGCAGCAGCCAGACCAACCCAGGGCCAACCTTTGCTTTGGGGCCTCCCCTCCTCCCAGCACAGGCTCCAGGCACCCCCCGCTCCCGGAGGTAGGTCGGCACCACGGGGAGGTACCACCCTCATTTTACAGATGAGGAAACTGAGGCAAAGAGGTGAAGTGACCTGCCCAAGGCCACGGCGGGGCTGGGGGGAGTGGCCCCTGGGCCCTCTGAGCTCTCCCGGCCCCCGCCACGGGACGTCCCTTCCCGGGGGTCCCTCCCCGGGGGGAGTTTCCAGGGTTTGCAAATCACTAGTTTAGTTTAGTTTAGTTTAGTTTAGTTTAGTTTAGTTCAGCAACAGCAAAACTTGACAGAAGCGCGTGAGCCGATCCGTGACCACCGAGGGCCCCGAGCGCTTCCTGTTTGTGAGGTAGAATGAGTTCCCGAAGGGCAGCCCCAGCTCGGGGTTATCTGTTCCTCCCCACCTCTGCCCCGCAGCAGGAGAACATGGGAAAGAGCCAATTCCCACCCTTCCTGGTGTAAACACTGTCAGCACGGGCTGAGCTCGCCGGTGGGGCCAGGAGTGACCCCCCGGGATCGCCCGACGCGGGGCTGGGAGAGCCCCCCCTGCCAAGGGACACCCAACACATGTCTGGGAGAGACCCCTGTGCCTGGGAGAGCCCCCCACGCTGAGGAGCAGCTGGCACAAGGCTGGGAGAATCCCCCATGCCCAGGAGAGCTTCCCTATACTCCAGAGAGTGTGTCCAGGAGCGCCCTGGCAAGCAGCTGGGAGAGCCCCCCATGCCCAGGTGAGTCCACCCATAACCAGGAGAGCCCACCCACGCCCAGGAGAGCCCATCCATGCCCAGGAGTGCCCGGCACGTGGCCGGAGAGGCCAAGCTGAGGTCCCCAGTAGCCGCCACTGCTGCAGCTCTGTGACCAAACTCACGTCGCTCCAACGGGGCACATTTGCCACCAGACACGTCCAGGACGGGGTGACCCAGGACGGGGTGATCCAGGATGGGGTGATCCAGGATGGGGTGATCCAGGATGGGGTGATCCAGGATGGGGTGATCCACGACGTGGCAGGGAGGATCCCTCCGGCAGGAGAAGGGCCCTCGAAGGAACCTTCCAGGGAGTTAAGGCAACAGCTTCATCGCCCCCGAGCCGGGGGATTCCAGCGGATTCCAGCGGCTCTCCGTGGCCACCACCAGTCACCTCCCGGGATCACGGACCTGCCTCCCCTCCCTCTCCAGCCCAGGGGCTCCTCTGGGAGACCCCCGTGCTTGTGCAGCCGCCTCCGCTCAGGCTCTGCAGGGAGGTTGTGCCGCTCCATCTCCTCCTCAGGGCACGAGTGAGTGTGTCCAGGAATCCCCCTCCTCGTTCCCTCCTCATCTGCACACTCACACGCTTCCTGCTCCTCTCCCTGGTGACCCGGCGATGGCCAATCCCAGGACACACTTGGCCCATCTTCTGGCAGTAGCAGCAGAACCCCAGGGATGCCCAGAATGTCTTTTTTTTTTTTTTTTCCTTTTTTCTTTCCTTTTTGTTCCTTTTCCTTCGAGTCCAGCACCTGCTCTGGCTCTGTCCCTCTCCGCTGAGGTCAGGTGTGAAAATCTTAGCAGCATCAGTTTGTGGACAAGCTCAGGGTTAGCCTGGTTGAGTGGGCTAGAAGGCTCAAAAAAATAGACTCTAGACTCAAAAACTAGTGAGAAGTACTAAAAACACAGAACTCGATGGCCTCTAACAGGACCAGAGGTAAGTAAACACGACGGACTCCTTGAAACAGTGATGTACCTCACGTGCTGTTAATTCGTACAACGCCACCAATCTAAAAAAACAGCCCTAAGTAGGCACAAAAAATAAAAATTAAAACAAACAAACAAAAAAAAAACGAAAAGGAGGATTCCATCCACGACGCCTGACCATTAAATAAAAGAAACCACACTTTTTTTTTTTTTTTTCCACGGCTCCCGCAACAAACTCCTGCCTCGCTCCCCATCAGCTGTCCGTGTTCTTCTCGGCCTCTTTGGAGTGGATGATGTACATGAAAGTCTGCTCGATGGTGAAGTCCGGGGGCAGGCTGCCCTTGTGCACCCCTATGTGCTTGCTCATGAGGTTGAGCGTGGAGCTGTAGTGCCCGCACACGGTGCAGCGGTACATGAGGGCCCCCGAGTGCGTCCGCAGGTGGCACTTGATGGTGGAGCGCCCGCGGAAGAACTTGTGGCACACCTTGCACTGGTAGGGCTTCTCCCCGGTGTGGATGCGCCGGTGGTAGTTGAACTCGCTGGTGTGGGCGAACCTCTTCCCGCACACCTTGCAGCTGTACTTGCTGTTGCCCGGCTGGCTCTGCAGCGCCAGCTCCTCGCTCAGGAACTCCTCGGGCAGCTTCCTCTTGGGCAGCCCCGGGGGCTGCAGCCGCTCCCCGAAGCCCGCCCGGATGTCCAGGCTCCCGCCGCACTTGTGCTGGCTGACGTGGTAGCGATAGGCCGCCTCCAGCTTGAAGCTCTGGCTGCAGAAGTGGCACTGGAAAAGCGCCTCCTCCACGTGCTGGTGCACGGCCAGGTGCTTCTCCAGCAGCTGCCGGTCCACGAAGCTGTTGGCGCACACGGAGCAGGAGAAGACGGAGACGCCCAGGTGGGACAGGGCGTGCCACATCAGGCTGCAGAGGCTCAGGTGCCTCTGGTCGCACACGCCGCACGTCTGGCTCTTCAGGTTCACGTGCTCCAGGAGGTGGTTGCGGACGGTGTGGAAATCTTTGGCCAGGGGCTTCCCGCAGGCGGCGCAGGACAGCTCGGGGCTCCTCCCTGCCCCGAACACGGCCCCCTTCCCGGGCAGGGGGTCGCTGGGGTGGACGACGATGTTGTTGTCGAAGACCCCGTCCCGCCGGTGCAGCGTCAGCTGCCACTGGGTGAAGAACTTGGTCTCGCACATGTCGCAGGAGAAGAGGAAGATGCCGATGTGGGACAGGACGTGAGTGACCCTGGAGTTGCGGTCCTGGAAGTGGGTCTCGCAGACCTTGCAGTTCCCGGTGAGCAGGTCCACGTGGTCCCTGGCGTGCTGGCGGATCAGCTGGATGTTGGGCTCCAGCACCTTCTTGCACACCTGGCAGGGCATGGCCTTGCTGTCCCGGCCGTCGCTCTCGAAGGCCAGCTCCTCCTCGCTGTCGTCGCTCAGCTCGATCACCTCCTCGGACGGGCCCAGCTCTTCCCCAGCGTCCTCAAAATGCAGCTCGGCCTCTCCCAGATCCTCCAGCTGCAGCTCGTCCATCTGCTCGAACCCCTGCTCTTTGGAGTGGTCGCTGTTGCTGGGGCAGGAGTTGCTCCCCATGGAGACGTCCAGGGACGGGTCGGTGGGGAAGAAGCCGCCCTTCCCGTAGTCGCCGTTGCTCTGGGCCTTGTACTGGGAGCAGGAGCTGCCCGTGGTCTGTGCTGTGACATTCCCGCCGGGCTGGGCCCCCAGACCCGCGGCCGGAGCGAACTGCCCCGGATCCGGCCCCTGCTCCGCCTTGGGAGGCTGCTGTGGGTGCATCAGGGGCAGAGCCTGGCTGGCTTCACCCACGGGGTTCCTGTCGTCCTCCTTGTAGCCGCCCGACACGTCCCCGTGCAGGAGGTAACTCCGCTCGGGGCCGAAGTGCTCGGCGCCGCTCCGGACGTCGCCCAAGGAGTGGCTCTGCTCCGAGGAGGTGCTGCTCAGCGGCCCCGCCCGGCCTTCCCCCACGGACAGCGAGGGCTGCTTGGTGATGGCCGAGCTCTCCAGGTCGGGGAAGGTGGAGTGGCAGGCCTGCAGCAGGTCCTCCATGCCCAGCCGCTCCGCCACCTCGTAGATGACGCCCACGTTGATGAGGTCCGTGAAGAGCTCCGAGGTGTACACGAAGCTCAGGATCTTCTCGAAGTTGGCCGGCGTGATGAAGTCCACCACGTAGGTCCTGGCGGCGTCCAGCCCCGTGTTCAGGAAGAGGTTCTGGAAGTAGCCGGCGGCGCAGGCCAGCACGGCCTTGTGCGCGGCGAAGGAGCGGGAGCCCACCAGGATGGTGACGTCGCACATGGTCTCGGAGAGCCGGCACTTGTTGAGCTCCTTCAGCAGGTTGTTGGGGTGGTTGGTGCTGTGCAGCTTGATCCTCATGCCCATCTTAGCAGCTGCTTGAGGGTCCCTCCTCCCGGTCAGCTCGGCCTTCACACCCTCATCAGCGGCGGGAGCAGGAGGTGTTGGGCAGCCAGGAGTGGCAGGGCAAGGGGCTCTGGAGAGGGGAAATGCAGAAAAATGGTAGCACTTAACTGAAATGGTAGCAAAGTAACACCATTCTGGTCATACCTCCCATTTCACACCTTCTGGATGAGCCACAGAGCAGCTGCTCAGCTGGAAATGGACTGAACCTGCCTTGTCACCTCACAGACCGACTTTTTAAGAAGTGAAGGGGCGGATGCACAAAGGTACAAACTCAAAACAAAAAGCCACCGACTCTGCCAGAGGCAGCTGAAGGTCCTGCTGCTCTTCGGGCAGGGACAGACATCTGTTGACTCAACTAGAGCCTGTTCCAGCCATCCCCCCTCTTCCTGAGCCAAGGACAAGGCTCCTCTCCGGAGGGATGACACTCAGGCTCCACACAGTGGTCAGATTCCCACCTGGATCTCCTCCAGTCACCACTTCATCCCTGCGCTTCAGATCCCACCCGTACCCACACGGAGACTCTCGGTTCCCAGGTGGGATCTCATCTCGGATCCTCCGTGTTCCAGCCTCGTGGGCTCTCCTGGGATTTCTCCTCTGCTGTGGCACCTCCCAGTGCAGATTCCCCGGCTGCCACCACACCTGCCCCAGGCACCGGCCATTCCCACCTGAGCGTGTCCCTCCAGCTCGTCCCGCTGCCTTTGCTACCCTGTCCTGCTCACGGACGCTCCAGCAGCTTTTGGGACCCCACAAACTTACCCAGAGAGCTCTACCCCCAATTCCCAGCCTCCTCCTTCCCGGGACGGGGAACAGCGAGCGCGGAAGGCGGCAGAGAGCGGGAGTTTGGAGGGGGCGGGAGGGGACGGGGCTGCTCCTGCCCCAGAACCAGGGAAAAGTCGGAGGGGCTGAGGATGGACCGTCCTCCCCCGGGGAAAACCCCCGGCAGCCGGGGAGGGCGAGGAAGAGCAGGAGGGTGGCCGGGGAAGGCTCTGGAAGGCAAACGCTCCCCAGCGGCAATTCCTGCGGCGTGGGAATCCCTGCGGAGGGGACGGGACGGGGGGGAAAAGAGCGGGAGAAGGGACGGGGGCGCGGGGGCAGCGGGAAGGGGGGGGCCCGGGGGGGCGCGGGCGGGCGGGGGGGGGACGGGGAGGCGCGAAGCTGCTCCGGGAGGAAAGGGAGGAAGGGCAGCGGGGACCCCCGGGGGGGGCCAAGGGGAGGGGAGAACGCGGGGCCACGGGGGGGGGGGGGGGGGGGGGAGGGGGCCCCCGGGGGGGGGCCGCGGGGGGCGGCGGGAGGTCCCCGGGGGGGTCGGCGCGGGAGGGAGCTGCAGGGTCCGGGGGCCGCGGGCGGGGGTCGCTCCTTACCCGCCCGGCGCCCCGCACCATCCCGGCCCGGCTCACACAAAGGCGCCGACCCGCCCCGCGCCCGCCCCGGCCCGCGACAACTTCCGGGACCCGCCGCGCGCGGCGCCCCCGCGCGGCCGGGAGGACCCAGCGCGGGCACCGGCCGGGGGGGGACACGGGCGGGGCGACACGGACACGGACCCGGGCGGGGGGACACGGACGGGGGGACACGGACACGGACCCGGGCGGGGGGACACGGACACGGGGCATTGCGGGGCAGGCACAGGTCGCTGTAGCCCAGAAGCACAAGGACCCAGCCCCGCCGTCCCCACGGACACGTCCCCGCAGCCCCATCCCCGCGGATCCGTTCCCGCAGCCCCGTCCCCGTGGATCCCTCCCCGCATCCCCATCCTCGTGGACCCGTCCCTGCTGCCGCATCCCCGTGGGCTCTTTTTCCCGCAGCCTCATCCGCGTGGATCCGCAGCCCCGTCCCCGCGGATCCGTCCCCGCAGCCCCATCCCCGCGGGCTGCCCCAGCCCGGTGCCGGCGGCGCAGCCAAGACACGGAGACGGTGTTTGCGCGTGTCCCGCGCAGTCACGGGCGGGTGTTTAGCGGGGCGATGCGGGTGTACACGGGTGCGCGGACACGCGGGGCGGGACGGCCGCGCTCCCGGCGGGGGTCCCACGACGGCTCCGCGGGCGGCGGCGCCCGGGACGCCCCCGCAGCCGGTCCCGCGGCTCCCCCGGGCGCGGGGGGGGGCTCGTCCCGCGGCTCAAAGGGCTCGCAGCGGGGCCGGGCCGGGCGCGGGGGTCCCCGGAGAGCAGCGGGGGACCGGGCCGCCTTCCCCCCGCCCCGCCGCTCGCCCGGGCTCCGCCGCCCGCTTCCCCATGAGCCCCACGAAGAAATCGTGCATGTCCCCTGCGGAGAGACCGGCCGTCAGCGGCCCCGGCCCCGGCGGCGGCTCCGGCACCGGCCCCGGTACCGGGCGGGACTTACGCTTCTGCGGGGCCGCGGGGGGACCTGGAAGAGACCGAAGCGGGTGAGAGGGGCTCGGGCGGACCCAGAGCCCCCCAGCCCGAGCCCCCCCAAGCCCCTCACCGGCGCCCTGCTCCCGCAGCAGCTCCAGCGCGGCGGCGGCAGCGGCGGCGGCCCCGGGGCTGCCGCGGGCGCTCCAGCGCAGCGGCTCCGGGACGGGCATCCCCTGCGGGAGCCAAGAGGGTGAGGGCGGTGGGAAGGGATCCGAGGGGCTCCTGGGAGCCCGGGCTCCCCCCGCCGCGCCCCCTCACGACGGCCGTACCTGGGCGGGGGGTGCGGGGTCCTGCGGGGCGGCGGCGGCGGGGGCGCGGCGGGCGAGGGCGAGCGGCAGCGCCAGGACGAGCAGCACCGCCAGCACCGGGCGGCTCCTCATCCTCGCCGGGGGTCTGGGGGCGCGGTCAGCGGCGGAGCGGCGGGGCCCGGGGCCGCCCCGAGCCGGTGCCCCCTCGACGGGGCGGCCCGGGACGAGCCCGGGACCGGACCGGGCTCTGGGGAGGGAAAGCAGCGAGACGGGAGACGGGGGGACGGGGGGCGACGGGACCCGCACTCGGGTCCGCGAGGGAGGGGCCGTGCCGGTGTCCCGGGGAGGGGGCTGCACCCCGGGGGTGCCCTACAGGGGCGGGGAGGGGTCTCTTACGGGGCGTGCAGGGGGACACGGCCCTGCTGTGGCCCCGGGGGTCCCGGGTCCCTGCTCGTGCCCGTGGTGCCACGTTTGTGCTGTCACACATTGCTCAGACTGTGCAAACACGCACGAATGTGGGCACAGCGGGCACGGGCACGGCTCGGGCTCTGTCCTGCACGTTCACCCGTGTCAGCACACGGGCGTCCCCTGGGACACACATGCTCGCCCACAGCCAGACTCGCTTCCAGAGCGCCCCCCCCCCCAACCCTCCCCGAATTCAAGGAACACCTTCACCCCCTCTCTCCTCCCTCCCGTGCCCTCCCGAGTGCCATCCCTCTTCCCTCCACCTTCCCTCAGCCCCAGCGGGACAGGGACAGGGCTCAGCAGCCCCCACGGACCCTGGGAAAGCCCCCGGGGCTGCAGGGCCACAGGGACACAGACCTGCCGAGCCCTCGGGCCACAGGGACACAGACCTGCCGAGCCCTCCGGTGCTGCCTGGTGCGGGGCCAGGGGCTGAGGGACCCTCGTCACCGGTGGCTGCAGAGCAGGGACACCTCGAGGAGCGGTGGGCAGCGGTGGTGGTGGTGGGCAGCGGTGGTGGGCAGCAGTGGTGGGCAGCGCTGGTGGTGGTGATGGGCAGCTCCGATGGCTCCCCCAGCACGGGCTCAGCCGGGAGGCGAAGCGCGGTGGCACCAGCAGCTGCTGCACGGCGCTAAATAAGGGGCTCTGCCCATGGCACGGCGGGGGTGGGCGAGAGGAGAGCTGCCAATGGGGGCCGGGGGGGAGGTGGAACCCCCACCCCGCAGCTTCACGCCCACGCGGGCACCGTGACACCGACAGCGCCCGTCGCACATGCGGAGTCACGCTGCGACACGCGTGTGCCCACGCAGCCATGGTGGCTGCCCCGGGCTGGGGGGTCAGCACACGGGCACGGTGCCCACGCGGCCCCCCGGCCCCTCATCATGGGGACGTGCACCCCGTCACGACGTGTCTGTTGGGAACACACGCGGTGGGATGGTCCTGGCTGGGTGCCGGACTCTGCAGCCGGGATTTGGGGCTCTCCCGCCACGCACACGGGATGCACACGCGTGTTCATCTGCGCGCACACACACACGTGTGCCCACACACACACACAAACACACCTCACACCCTGCCTGTCTCCCCCAGCCCCATTTCGGTGCTCCCGGCCTGCCCGCTCCCGTGCCGGGATGTGCCAAGGTGGAAGATGGGGAGAGAAATTCAGGGGGGGAAGCGGAGGGGGTGCGACAAAAGGGGGAACAACTGGGCCAACAAGTGAGAGCCACCGACTCCATCCCGAGCAACAGGTGGCTGCGGCTGCTCCGGTGGCTGCGGCAGCCCCCCGGGAAGGCAGCGGATGCTCACGTGGCAGCACAGCCCGGGGCAGGGCAGCATCTGCAGTGCCGGGAACGTTAATTAAATCGGAGCCCGGCCAGAGATGGACTAATTAATTAATAACACCTACTTGTGCGATGCCAAGCGCGAGGCAGCCGTGAAGAGCCGCGGTGCCCCGGGCTTGTTTACGGCTCCTGCCCCTCGCCCAGGGAAGGTCCCTGAGCTGGGATGTGCCGGAGCCCGGGGGGGGGGAACGGGGAGCCCTCGGCCCCGGGGCACGGCCGGGCTGTCAGCGGCCCCCACGCAGGCACACGTGCCCCCCCCACGTGCGGGAGCTGCCCGCACACCCTCCCCCTGCACGACAAACCGTGTGCCAGGGCCCACCTGGGAGCTGGTGCTGATGGTGACAGTGACGGGGAGTTGGCAGCTCCCGGAGGTAACTGCCAACATCCTCGGGTGATGTGTGGGGACAGGAAAAAAACCCTCTCCGAGAGCTCGATCGGTGCAGGAGAGAAAAGGCAAGGGGGGGACACTCTGGCACGGGAGCTGTGGGCTCCTGGGGGCTGCAGGGCTGGCGGGGGTCCCGTGGGTCCTGGGGGCTGCAGCGGTGTCACTGGGGCTGTGTGGTGACTCCCCTCTGTCCCCCGTCCATGCAAACAGTTCCCAAATGCAGCTCCAGTTCCAGCCTGTGTCGGGAGCAACCTGCATGGGGGGGTCCCGCAGCAGGGTGGGGGACCCTGGGCAGGGGGGGACGGGGCTGGCCAGAGCAGGGAGGGGGTGTCAGGGACCTCATGTGCAGCCGCCCAGAAATTGCCTCTGCAGCAGCACGAGCCAGGAGCCACTTAATGGGAAAAGTGGCCACAGTTTGGGGCCTTTCCAATCACCAGGAGCTGAGCACCGGCCGCAATCAGGCAGCAGGAAAGGTGGGAGGCCGTGCTGGGCTCTGACCCCCCCAGCTCCAGCATCGTGGCACCGTGTCCTGGGGCTCTGGCACGATGGGATCCCCCACCCCACACCCGGAACGGGGTCACCCACTGTGACACCACCCTGGTACCGACACCTCAGCATCTGTTTAATGGGTTTGGAGCGATTCCTGGGCACTGCCAGCACCCGGCGGGGCAGGGGGATGACACGGGGGGTGGTCGGGGGTGCCGGTGCAGGGGTGGGGGTCCCTGTGAAGGGTGGGGGGTCCCCTCAGTGCACCAGGATCTCCATCTTGTGGCTGCCCTTCTTCTTGCAGATGGGGCCGTCGGGGCCGGCCTTGGGTGACTCCACCACGGTGACAGACACGTCACCCTTGGGGAAGCGGGTGGAGAACCTGGAAAGAGGGGCAGGGTGGAGGGGAGGGGGCAGGATGGAGAGATGGGGTGGGGACACGCCAGGCCCCGCAGTGCCCAG